TGCTAATTTGTTTTACCAGGTATCATCGGACTCCAGTCATCTGTTTAGGATAATTGGACTACAAATAATTGATAATCTTCATAGGTGTATACTATGATGTATGTTGATTTCTCTCTATAAAACTACAATCATGTTGTAACTACATTTATAGCAGTTCCAATAATTTTAAGTCAATAAGTTCTTCTACATTATCAAGTTGTTCTATGTTTAATGGTTTTGGCCAAGGCGGTGTTGTTTTCCCGCCCTCGAGTAGACAGTGACAGGGAAGAGTTGTTATGCTTACAGAAATAGATTCTTTCCAGTCAGATGTAATGTAGTCAAATATTTCATCTAATAATCTAGATCGAATGGTTGTGATTGTGAGTTGTTAATTTGTTAAATCAAGATTGGTTGGTTGTGATTATGAGTTTTTAACTTGTTAAATCAAGATCAAATGATGATTATTATGAGTATTTAATTTGTTAAAGTCACGGCGTTAGTCACTAGATGATTGTATAAGTTGTTAGGTGAGAAAAAGTTATTATTAATAACGGCGACATAAGTGTAATTTTACAACTGTCTAAATATTATTTATCTCATGCTCTCAAAAGGAACACGAAAGGAAAAAGGACTTGTCTAGCGTTGAAGATTGATATTAGTGAAGTTTATGATACAGTGGATTGGGTTTTTTTGAAGGAGATGTTTAAGAAGTTGGGTTTTGTAGAGAGATAAATCCATTGGATGATGATGTGTGTTACCTCACTGTACTATAATGTTCTAGTTAATTCGGAAAGTGTTAGACCTATTGAATCAGGAAGAGAGTTAAGACAAGGAGACCCAATGTCTCCTTATCTCTTTATTCTTATTTCGGAGGGTCTTTCGGCCATTATCAATGGTGCAGTGACTAAGGGTGATATCCATGGAGTCCAGATATGCACAGGGGCACCTAGTGTGTCCCATCTGTTTTTTGCTGACAATTGTTTTTTATTTTACAGGGTCAATTTTTCGGAAGTGAAAATTCTTATGAGTTTACTCAATACCTACACCGAGGCGTCGGGTCAAGAGATTAATATGTTAAAGTCTGAAGTCTTTTTTAACAATAATTTGTCTACTTCGACTAAAGAGGACCTTACTAGGATCATGGGGGTTCAGCATGTCCTTCCTAGGCACTGGTAACTATCTAGGGCTGCCGTCTATGATTGAAAGGAGCAAGAAGGCTATTTTTGCCTATATTAAGGATTGAATCTGGAAAAGAATCAATTCTTGGAGGGGTTGTTCGTTGTCTAAAGTCAAAAAAGAGGTTATGATCAAATCTCTGCTCCAAGTCAGTTTGGCTTACGTTATGAGTATATACATTCTTTCGGATACAGTGATAAATGATATTGAGAAGATGTTGAATACTTTTTGGTGGGGTAGAGGTAATAACAATAGGGGAATAAGGTGGATGGTTTGGGAGAGACTTACTTGTACAAATAGGGGAGGAGGATTGGGATTCCTTGATTTTAAAGCTTTTAATATGGCGATGGTTGCCAAATAGGGGTGTTTTTTTGTTTTGAAAATCTTGGTATCCGGCCTTGCGATCGACTATTCAAGAGGGACCAATTTCACTGTCCACTAGCGGGGGTCCCGTTTAAAGCCAGAACAAAATTCTGTGTGAACTGGCCCAACAGAGGGATTGTTAGCACCTAGCAGGATTCAAACTCAGGACCTTGAAAAGAGAACACTCTCAAGACCTAAGCCTCCTAGACCAACCCTTGGGGGTTCAAACAGGGGTGGTTTGTTATGTCACAGCCACAAGCTCTAGTGTCTCGAATCTTTAAAGCAAGGTACTTCCCTAGAACCTCATTATTTGATGCTAATCTCGATTATAACCCAAATTTTGTGTGGAGAAGTATTTGGAAAGCTAGAGAGGTCCTAACTCTAGGTTGCAGGTGGAGTATCAGTGATAGCAGTGGAATTAAAGTGATGAACGAACCTTGGCTTCGTGGAGGGCATGAGGGATGTATAAGCTGCCCACAGAAGCAAGGTGTGCATGATATTACTATTAAAACTCTTATGTTGTCAAATGTTAAACAATGGAATATGAGAGTTTTACATGACTTATTTGACTATGCAGTGGTAGAGGAAATCCTTCAGGTTCCGTTGATGGAAGATGTTAAGGAATACAAACAGGTTGGGAAAGAGGGGGAAAAAAGGTAGCTATAGTGTGAGGTCGGACTACCGCATGTGGCGAAAGGTCCAGAAAAGTCATATTTACCCAAGTGATGTGACTAACTGGAGTTGTATTTGGAACGTCAAAGCCCCGACAAGAATGAAACATCTTATGTGAAAAATTTGTCAAGAGTGCCTTCCTACCCGTATGAGGCCTCGGAGTCATCGGGTAAATTGTACTGAAGAATGTCCATTATGTGTCGATAGTTATGAGGATGACTAGCATGTTTTCTTTTGATGTCCATAAATAATTAAATGTTGGAAAACATCAGGTTTGAGTAATATCATTGATTATACAATTCTTTCGTTTCGTGATGTAAAGTCGCTCATTCTTGATATTTGTAGTAGGGAAGATAGGAACACGGCAGGTAGAGTTGCAGTTTTGCTGAAGGTTGTGTGAAAAAATAGAAATCATCAAGTTTGGAATAATGAGAAAGAGGAGGGACCTAAACTTGGTTGACTTGCGTATCATCAATGGCAAGAATTGTACTCTGTCCAACGCTTCCAGGATAGTAGCACCAGCCATCATCAAGTGCCAACTTAGAGTCCACCATCTCATGGTTGGGTTAAATGCAATGTGAATGCAGGTTTCAACAAGACTTGTGGTACCTCGAATAGAGGGTGGTGTTTTCGAGATGAGTTTGCCAATTTTATCTTTGCAAGAGTGACTTGGGATCTCGGTACTCTACTTATTATTGAAGCAAAAGCTATAATACTCAAAGAAGTTATCCAGATAGCTATTTCTTTGAATATGGATTGTGTTGTGTTCGAAAGTGACTCTATTCAGGTGGTACAAGCTATAGGTTCTGTCAAATCTGGAAACTCGGAATTTTGTTCTATCATTAGAGTTATTGAAGAGTTGTTACAAATTTTTGCAAACTTTGAGGTTAAGTTTATTAATTGTCAAGCGAATTCGGTTGCCCATTCATTAGCAAAGGCGACCAATTCTTGAACTAGACGTAGTAGTTTTCATCTTGCTCCTCCTTGTATTGAACTTTTGATTATTAATGATAAAAGTTAATTTTGCTCTATTCAAAAAAATATTATTTATCTCATAGATTAATAATTTCTTTTTAGTCCGTTTCAAAAAGAAGATAAAAAAACGAAGTTAAATTTGATGACATCTTCATAAGTTGTTATAAACGTTTTATGTACAACATGTCAAGCATGAGTACTCCATTTTAGATAAAATATCGGTACTGGATACGTATCGGATACTGGTACGCGTACAGTATGTATCGAAGTCGTATCTATCTTATTTTATTTTATTTTAAGTTGATATACCAAGCACGAGTACTCCATTTTAAATAAAGTATCGGTACTGGATATATACCGGATACTGATACGTGTACAGTATATATCGAAGTCGTATCTATTTTATTCTAAGTTGATATACCAACCGAAACATATTTGGTACCGTGTACCAAATTTTTTTTCTTTTTTTTCGGATAGGTGGAACTTGAAACCAAAGGAATGGTGGATACTTTATGGATTTTCAATCTCTAAACTTCAATCTATTGTATTGAAACTTCTTTTACAATTAAGTTCTTCATATTCTACTGAGAGAAATTGAAGCACATACATGTGAATTTATTCTCACAATGAAAAGAAATAGACTCAGTTCAAAGAGGGTTAAGGATTTAGTTTTTGTTCATGTAAATCTTCGTATTCTCTCGAGAAAGAGTAAGGTTTATAATGAAAGAGCAACAAAAATATGAGATATTAATAGAGATGAATGAGATCTAATTGATGGAGTTGATATTCTTGAAGTTGTTAATCTTTGTTTCGATGAACCTAAACTAGAAACCGCTCTTTTTAATAATTTTGGAGAAAAAAATATTAAAATTCAGTTATGATTTCATGATTTTTTTTACTTTTTAAGTGTGATTTATTTATGCTATTACGCATATATTAACTTTTTAAAATAAATTGTTTTTTAATTCTAATACTTCGTTGTTATTTAAATAATTTTTTGTTATTTTTATAATTAAATTTTAAAAAATTTATACTAGTGTATTCGTTAACGTATTCGTACCTTACTAGGTTTTTTAAAAATGACATACTCCGTAGCAGGCAAGGTACAACTATAAACCCCTATTATTTAACTTTTTTTTAATGAATTACTTGTTTTAACATTTGCTCTTGGCTATAATACTTTGATTACTTTTCTTGCTTTCACTCAAATTAGATTTGAACTAATTTAAATTCAATTTTTCATTTGTAAATTAACAAGTCTTATCACACATCTTATTCCACAAAGTAGAATTGGCTATATGGATCAATTTTTACATTAATGTTATAACAAGAACCATGCTTCTCTAAATCCATCATCTTTTATGAAGCTTCTGAATTCAAAATTGCCAAGGTGCAACTCTCTGACATCTGATCAAACATTAGACCCGAATCAAGCAGTCCGAGTTATTTCAACATGGTTTATTTTTCACTCATCCCACAATTTGCATTCAAAGATCAATGCATTCATATTAAAATACTGAGTAATTTGTCATCTGGATGAACAAAGTCATGCTTCTTTCCTTCAGCAAGATGTGAAAAGCAAAAGGATTAAAGTTATTTACAACAACAGGTTAAGACAGAACACAATTTTGATAGAGTGAATCCTCAAGTAACCAAATGAAACTACAATAAAGCATTCAAAATGTTGCTTAGTACATTAAATTCAAAAGTCAGAACCAGTTCTGAAACACCCAACATCATCATTAGACTTTAGCCAATGATAACAAGGCGGCGGTAAGCTGCACAAGTATACAAAAGCATCAGTCAAGGGGGCTTGGACAAACACAGTTGTATCTCTAGCCTCTCAACCAAGTATTCCTGTAAGATGAATTGTCTCGCAGAGAAGCATCGTGGGGCTTGTACTCCATAACGTAGCTGTGAGGAAGCTTTAAGTGACGCTTAATCGAATCTCTCAAAGCCATTACAGCCTGCATAAGAAATCAGGAATGTTATTAAGGACATAGTTGAGTATACATTTTGAGCACATTATCACGTGCGTGCAAACGCACAAATAGATTAAATGATGATGCCAACCTGATTATCAGAAGCATTGCGGTTCCAGACACTCACTATATCCTCGTTAAATCGAATGCTTAGTACTGCACCGCATATGTTATCACCATAATCCAACTGGTCACCCACTAAAGCAAGCACCTGCATTTCGCATGTAATAGTACTATTACAAATTTTAAGTCTCCAACAATAAAAAGATATAATTTTAATCCAGGGCATAGATCATGAGATCAAATTCACCAATCAAGAGACTCCAAAGGTAATTTAGCTGATATGTAACAAGCATAAATAAATAAACTTAAAACGGAGAAAGAAGGGTGTTTAATCAAAAAAATCAAGTGGAACCCAAATAAGGATCATAACCATATCCTTTGTTTGCTACAACATTTTTCCTTTTTTATGTTAACATCCACAGAACCAGCATTATTCACCGAGCAAAAATTAACACACGATTTTGCACATATGATCTAGTAATAGTTGTACGCCAATAGGCAGTTAAAAGTTTGTATCATTACAAGGTTCATGATAAATGGATAGAATGCCTGCAATATTCAAAATAGTCTTCGAAACAAACGCAGAAGCTTGAAGTATTCAAGAAGTAAGTCGAAGGATTCAATAAGCTAGTCGTGTATAACAATAATAATAATAATAATAATAAAGGATATTGTAAACTCTTTAACAAGTGCTCAAATGAAAGGGCTCTAAGACATGTTTTAAAACAACCAAGTGCTTATGCAGACACTCTATCAAACAAAGGAAATCATAAACCCTTATTCATATAAATCCTAATCCTATTTACATTGTTCTTTCCTTATACAGAGAATACAATTTCTATGAAAACAAACTCATGGAAATTGATGAACGCAGTTGCTTTCCAAATTCATTTTTCACAATGCTTCCTTCTGAGTTATCAGGGACACCAACTTAATTATTAGATAGAAAATATTCATTAACCGGTTTACATCTTGAAACCTCAATCTTATCAAACTTAAGATTATTCCTAAAGATTGGGAGAGGGTGAACAGCCATATGGAACTTAGAAAATCAAGTAACATATATGAAGCATGCCAGAGTCAAAATTATACATTTTAAAATTGGAATGGAATTTAACACTAGATTAATGGCTTCAGTTTCAGTTAGGGAAAAATGTAACAACAAAAACATTTCAGACCCATAGAGGATTTCAAATACTCAAACACTCTAATTTGTATGGCAGAGTTTGGTATCAAACTACCAATAACAACATAGACTCAGCCTAACCAAATAGATGGGGGGATTGGATCCACTACAGGTATGAATCTACGTAATTGGGATCTATACAAACCAAATTTTCAGTAAAACTATTTAGAGCAACAAATTTGAAAAATTATTCAATAAAATTAAAGTGTTAAGATTTTCCATAATCATGACAGGAGTTTACTAAAAACATATGTTCACTAACCAGGTCCTCCCAAAAACGACCTGAAACAGCCTTCTTGAATCGTATAATCCATTTTCCACCACTGCAGTTAGCAGAGTCCTTCAAAAAAGCCACCCAGCGAGTCAAAGCAAATTAAACAACAACATTCAGACAAACTTCTAGCTTTCACCCTCCAGAACAAAACAACTCAAAATTTCAATACCAGAAAATAAAACATAAGCTAAGGCTACTAAGTATCTACCTCCCATAAAGGACGAATTCCTTCTTTGAAAAGGTGCAAATCTGTTGGACTAGGCAAAGAAGCAGGACGAGAAATATGGCAGTAACAGACCCAAAATCCTTCAACCTATTAACACAAACAATTGCCACAATAATGAAATTTAAAGTCAAGTATGAACCTAAATCCCATACAATACCCAATACAGGACCCCCAATATACCAAACATCTTACCGTACTGAATTCGACAATCTTCTTTATGTTGTCCTCATATGATTGATTTCGAATTCCAGGTACCCGGCGAGTGTACCAAAATACAAACTTGCTCTGTTCAAGGAAACCACCAACACAAAATCAATTAACCAAAATGTCAAATTGCAGTTACTCCTTTAAATCTCATATATGAAGTCACAATTTTTTCTCAAAATTAATTTAAAATAAAATAAAATAAGAACTACAAGGTATCAATCAACAGTTTCTTCATTCATTCACGCATTTCATATTTCTATTACAAATTTGGAAGAAAAAAACCTGAAACTAAATAGATTGAGCTATGAATCAAAATTGACCTAACAAGCAATGAACTATAGATATAAGAAACAAAAATTGGATTTTTAAAGTGTTTGAGATGAACCTTTAGAGGGTGAAGACCAGCTTTGAGTTCACGTGCTTGTCGTTCTTCGGTTTCTTTGATATTGAAGGAATCGGAAGGTAATTGGGAAGAAGAATCGGAGATTTGGTGAGAGTTTTCTGAGTTGTTGTTGTTGTTTTCTGATGCGTTCTTCCCTGATGTGAAATCCATGGCGGTTTCTTAAACCCTAATTCGCTTCTTTTCTTTCCCTTTACGTGTTAGTGTTGAGTTTTTCAGACCAAAGAGGGAGACTGAAAATGGTGTTTGGCTTTATATGTAGCACATGTTAAGAACTCTTTTCGTTTATTTTTTTATTAATTAACAATTAATTAATAATATCTTTCAATAAATCCGAAATAATAGTAAAGCTAAATTATAATTTTTATCCATCTATTTAATCAATATTTTTGTTATGAAATTAACGAAAATAATATAGAGATATTGTGATTATTCTCTTCAAGTTTATTTAAGGGATACACAAGGTGAATTATATTTATAGTACATTGACCAATAAACAATCATTAACTTAAGGGATACACAAAGGTTAGAAATTTAACTCATAGGAATTAAAGAATATAGAAAGTGGGGTAAATGAACATCCACGTCTATTTACTATTATTTATAACACTTCCTTTTGGATATTTATTGAGGATATTCTTCGTTAAAACTTTACTAAAAAAACTCAGTGGAAAAAAATCTAGTGAAGGAAAAAACGTACAATATCATTTGAATGAGAATTGCCTTGTTAAAAACCTTACCAGGAAAACCCAGTGGGACAAAATCTTGGTGAAGGGAAAAAGAATGCATAACATATTTATTTATCCCCCTCATGCATGTAACGCCTGTAATTAAATTATTTTTAGAATATTTGTGAAGTTGTGTTATGATGATAGTCGATGTGTTGCTGTTATTGGATTTATTTATTCTATTAAGTTGTGGAATAATATTATAATAATATTATTTGATGTGGACTTATTTTAAGGGTTAGAAGTAGTAGAAAGGAGGTGTAGGAGTTTTAAGCCCATTAAGACATAAAGAGAATTATAGGGTTATTATATTAGTTTTTAGAAATAATAAGAAAAAAGAAGAAGCAGTGAGAAGAGAAGGAAATAAGGGTTGGAAGAAGAGAAAGAGAACGTGAAAGTTGCAGAAAAGAAGGAAAAGAGGCAAAACGGGATTCAATCAGAAAAGTTATAGAGCAACCTTCAATCTAAGGTAAGGATGGGGTTCTGACTCTATAATAGAGTTTATGATGAGTAGTATATGGGATTAGATGTGAAAAGTTGTCTTGTTTATGATTGGAATGTATATATTGTTGTATGATGAAGATCAATGATTTAAATATGAATAATGATGCCCTAATGTTGTATAATTGATGTAGAAACATAGGATTATTATAATCGATGATTACCTGTGATTAGAGGATATTTTTAGGGCCTAAGGCAGGGAAACCGTAGTGAAAACACAGTGAAATCGCAGAAAATATTCATGACAGAACAATATGCGTCGACCTCAAAAGCCATGCATCGATACATGCAGGTTTTTGGACTCAAGATGAGTCGATATGAAGAAGCATGCATCGATACATGCGATATTGCAGACTCAGTATGAGTCGATACAAAGGGAGTACGCGTCGACTCATGCAGGACGTTAGTCCAGTACGCGTCGACTCAAGACATTACGCGCCGACTCATGTAGTCTGATTTTTGACAAATTCGTTTCCAAAGGTTGTAACTTGAGTTTCCGGACTCCGTTTGAGGTGTCGTTTGAAGCGTTGAATAGATGACGCGATGAACTTCATTCTTAAGGATTAAAATGAAGGATAAGAAGAATAATCCTAGTAACCCAATTTAGGACTAGAGTTAGCTTCCTGTGTTAATCGCTATGATGATGTTGTGAAGTATGATGAGGATAAGACGATTATAGATTATTGTTTGGTTCATAACAATAAGATTAATGATGATAATCATGTAGTATTACAGAATAGTAATAGGTAGAGGTTTGGTAATTTAGAGGTAAGTCTTAGATGATTAATTAATTATAGGCAATATCATGTTGTAGGCTTATGGCCAACCTTGAGGGATTGTCGATCTATCGTTGTATTGTTGTTGTGGCTGAGTTGCTGTAAAATTATGTTGATGAATTATGTTGATGAAATTACATTGATGAAATTATGTTGATAAATTATACGATGAATTATGTTGATGAATGATGTTGATGAATGATGTTGAGATGCCTCTAATAATTGGCAGTTACTAAGATGTAGGCTCTGTCTAACGTTGATGTTATGTTAAGACATCGTTAATTATAGTTGTTGTTATTCCATTCATGATTGTGTCGCATACATTGCATTTCAAGATGGAGCTGATGCTCGTTAAGATGGCCTGTATTGGCGAATATTAAGATGAAGGCTTATGCCTTGTTGAGGCCTCTATTTATTGGCAATTATTTGAGATGGGAGTTCTGCTACAATGGTACCACATGCATTTGCATAGTATTGAGTCGCGTTATATGATTGCATAAAGAAGTTGTGTATTGATGCAGCAAATATGTATATTGTTGGTATTCTGTTGCGATTATTGTTATTTATAAGATGAGAAGTGGTGATGTTATGTGATCTAATTTAATATATTATTTATCATACGTTTCATTATATTGTTAGATATCTCACCCCTTTTGTTTGAATGTTACCCTTACATTGGTAACGTGCAAGTAATCCAGAGTGAAGGCAGTATACCGTCGATAGTTCGAGTCGGTGTCATTGCTCTGATACGTAACACTCGGGGGGATGAATGCTTGTTGATTTTAATTATTGATTATTTCAGTTGTTGGACTTTAATTCGTTTGTTGCTAAGTATGCATTATTTTGAAGTTGCTGTAATTGTTGGAAAATGATGTTATTATGATTCCGCTGCATAGTTGTTCAAGTTGTTGAATTAAGAGATTAAATTATTTTGTTGTTGGTTCATCTGAAGTTTAAAGTGTTATGTATCCATGTTGAATGCAATGTGTTTTTAAGTGGAATTTGTGGCATCCTGATTCAGTTGCATGAATTTTAAAACTCTGATTTACATTCGTAATTGCCGGGTAGAATTGGGGTGTTACAATGCACACATTTATACGTGAGATGATATTCTTTGTAGTAGTTTCTTAAAATATCTTGTTTGAAGTGACTTAATGCGGTGCTAATAGTTATGCAGGATTTTATGAAGTTATTGTCGTGAGTTGTTTCGTAGATCTCCGTAAAATAGTTGTACCATCACATGTAAACAAATAACCTATTTTTGATATACCATTGTGAGGATCTGACATGTAATATGCATCTCTAAGATAGCGAAGTATATGTTTGACTTTGTTTCAATGTCTTTCTGTAGGTGAATAATTGTATCTTACTAATAGATTAACCGTAAATGATATATCAAGACGTGTATAATTAGCAAGGTGAATTAGTGATCCAATTGCACTGAGATATAGTACTTCATGACCAATCAATTTTTCATCCTTTTCTCGAATCCTGAAAGGATGTTTCTCTACATCTAATAATATAACAACCATTGGAGCATACAATGGATAGGATTTGTCCATATAAAAGCGTTTCAACACTTTTCTATATAACCTTCCTGATATACAAATATTCCATTGTCTAGATTCTCAATTTATAAGTCTAGACATAATTTTCTTTTTCCTAGGTCCTTAATCTCAATTATTTCTTTAAGTAATTTATAGCTTTGGGAAGCTCTTCAGGAGTTCAAATAATATTTATGTCATTCACATAGACAACTATTATTGTAAATTCTTTTTTTGACATCCATTTATGAAAATACAAGGACAAATTGAGTTATTTGTATATCTATTCTTTAGTAAATATTCACTAAAGCGATTATACCACATGCGTCTAGATTGTTTCAACCCAAGGAGAAACTTTCTCAATTTGATGGAGTAGTTTTCTCGAAATCCAAAATTATGTGCCTCTAGTATATTGAACCCTTCAGAGAGTTTCATGTAAATGTCACTATTAAGTGAACCATCTAAATAAGATGCCATAACATCCATCATGTTCAAATTAAACCCTTCTTGTGTTACAAGGCTCATTAAATATCAAAAATCAATTAAATTCACTACAGGTGGATACGTTTTATCAAAATCAATCTTAGGTCTTTGTGAAAATCATTGAGCAACAAATCAAGCTTTATATCATCTTGTTTTGCTTTTTCACAAAAACTCGTTTATATCCAATTGGTTTCACACCTTGAGGTGTTCGGACTACATGTCCAAAATTGAGTCACTTATAAAGTGAATTTAATTCTTCTTCAATTGAATATATTCATTTTGTCTACAATCTTTAATAGACTTTAACTCATGATCTTTGTTATCGTTGATCACTTTTAGCGATGTATTATATACAAAGACATTATCAATATTAACTTTATTTGGTTATCTCAATTTCGATTCCTTTCCATTTCATCCATGGCATAATTTATCGAGATCTTTTTATTTCATATTTCAAGTACTTGATTTGTCCTTCTGAAACTGAAAAATAAATTATGTCAAAGTGCTCTTAGAATTTTCATATTCTCACTTGGGTCATCTTTAACTTTAGTTTCTTTTCTTGGTAGAGGACTTTTAACATTGGAACCGACTTTTCTACCACGCTTTAGACGCGGCTACAACTCATTTGCAATATTAGATTATATAACAAGAGAATCTACTTTAATTGGAATATTAGCAGTTGATAATAAGTTTTATAAACTTTGCAAATGAGAAATATATTGAACTTCTTGTTCTTATTCGTTTATACGAGGATTAAGATGACAATTTATTTTTAATTGTTTATTTGAGATTTTGTTTCACTCTTCAGTCACTTAATTTCTCCCCCTCACATTGGAAACTTTAATTTCTCAATTAATAATCATCCTGCTGGACTGCAATCATGTATTCAATTATTTGCTCAAATTATATTTCAAAATTGGGATTCATATCAAATATATTTTTTCAATATTCTTTCAGATCCTTTCACTACTTGTCTTAGTGTATTATATTGGAGCAATTATAAAATACACAACACATCCAAAATTTCAATTAGATGAGAAGTATCAGGTTCTTAACCTGAAATACATTATACACCAAGGAAGGAGAAATGTATCGCAATGTGTTGGCTTGATGTAAATAAA